CGGGGCGGGGGTGGTGGGGGGGGGGAGGTGGTCCGCATTTAGCAAGGGTCTTTTTGTTCATTCTACTGACGGATGTCTTTGCCAGACCTCATCTTTAAAATGAAAAATAACACCTACACTTTCAAACCTGAATGTCTGAATTTGGGCACCTGAATAAAAAAAAAAATGCTTATTTTCAGAGCTGCCAATTCCCCACAGTTACTATGGAGGTCTACTGGAGTTTGCCCTAAGGATTCAAAGAATAGGCCCTGCATGTTAAAAAAGTTTCTTCCAAACTAAGGTTTTACAGGAGATATCGGAGAAGTGGATAAAGTTAAATGTCCACACAGCCTAATTTCTGCTAAAATAAACATTGATTTTTGTCTCAGAAAACAAGATAAGTTTTATAAGCAATGAGATTAAATCTGCAGTCAGTGATGAGAGAGTGATAAAATAGAGTTATCTCTGCTTTACAAAAGAGATTTTACATCTCTTTTGAAGTTTCCTTTCTATTTAGCTGGCTGAACTGCACAGCACCTGACAGGCATATACACGGAGTTTGTTTCCACTACTGCAATTTCCTTTTAATCTCATCAACATATTTTTCCCCACCAAGAGTTTATCTGTAAAAAAAGTTTTAAACATGGTGTCGTCAAAAGTTAAATAAACCTATCAGATTCTGGTGCTTGTCCTTTTTGTGCTGTGCAAAATGCTCACCAACTATACTGAATGTTAGGTTTTTCCACTTATAAAGTATCTTATAAACAAGCATTCACTGTTAAACAGTGATGACTTTTTCATAGACATAGACATCAGGGCTGGAAGGGACCTCGGAAGATCATCGAGTCCAGCCCCCCGCCCAAAGGGCAGGAAGTCAGCTGGGGTCATAGGATCCCAGCAAGGTAAGCATCCAGTTTCATCTTGAAGGTGTTCAATGTAGGCGCTTGAACCACCTCCGGTGGCAGGCTGTTCCAGACCTTGGGGGCTCAGACAGTAAAGAAGTTCTTCCTTATGTCCAGCCTGAAACGATCTTGAAGTAGTTTGTGACCATTCGACCTCGTCATCCCTTGGGGCGCTCTGGTGAACAAACGTTCCCCCAGATGCTGGTGGTCACCCCTGATAAACTTGTAGGTGGCCATCAGATCACCCCTGAGCCTGCACTTTTTCAGGCTAAAGAGCCTCAGGGCTCTCAGCCTGTCATCGTAGGGTCTGCTTCCCTGACCTCTGATCATGCGCGTGGCTCTTCTCTGGACTCTCTCAAGCTTCTCCACATCCTTTTTGAATTGTGGAGCCCAAAACTGGACACAGTACTCCAGCTGCGGCCTCACTAAGGCCGAGTACAGGGGGAGAATGACGTCCCGGGATTTGCTTGAGAAGCATCTATGGATGCAAGCCAGCGTTTTGGTCGCTTTACTAGCCGCCGCATCGCATTGCAGGCTCATGTTCATCTTGTGGTCAATGATGACCCCCAAGTCTCTTTCTTGCATAGTGCTAGCCAACATAGCACTGCTGAGCCTATAAGGATGCTGCGGGTTTTTTTTCCCAAGGTGGAGAACCTTGCATTTATCAGCGTTGAACACCATCAGATTCTCATCCGCCCACTTGCTGAGCTTGTCCAGGTCAGCCTGGATCACCTGCCTGTCTTCTGGTGTGGATGCTTTGCCCCAAAGTTTGGTGTCATCTGCGAACTTGGCCAGTCCGCTTCTGACTCCAGTGTCCACATCATTAATGAAGATGTTGAACAGTATGGGTCCAAGGACAGAGCCTTGGGGGACCCCACTGGTCACAGGACACCACGATGAGTGACTTCCATCAATTACTACCCTCTGGGTCCGACCCCGGAGCCAGACTTTTTACAGAACTAGAATGAAGCAGGATGAGTTTTTACCTGTAGATTCTGGTAGGTATGGGCAGGTACAAGATTTTGAAAAGGGATTGCAGGTAGTGTGATATATTATGACATGTAATACAACACATTTTTTTCCACTTAAAGAGAAACTAGAAATTTTACTAAAAGAGAAACTAGACGTTTTACTAATATAGTAGGGGCCCAGTGCTCTATTATTCAGTTTAAGATCAAAGTGAAAACAAATATAACTTTATTGGAATGTGTACTAATTTGATAGTTTATATATTAAGTTTAAAAAAACACAACAACTAGGCAAAACATGCCTCTTACTCAGTTTTGTAAAGCAAAATCTAACCTTCTTGAGCTTCTCGACTGTGCATCATCCAACACTTCTGTCAAGCATTTCCACACCTGAGTTAGTGATCCCCTGAGTTAATATTACTGCAAACTGAGTTAAGATTTTGAGTTAGAACTAAAAACAGTCTGCAGAGCTGTAAAGCAGAAGAGGGATATTACCCAGAATTGCTAACTGACAGCAGAATTGCAGAAGAAGGATAATTTGATTAATGGAACATCAAGACCATTAAAAAGAAGGCAGGGTCTTTAACACCTGTGGAGTGAAGAGAGAGTAGGAGGAATCAGGCAGATTATAATGATCCATGAAGTCAGCTGACTCCCTCTCACTGCTGCCTGAATAGACATACTGCTGCCTCTCTTTGGGTGGAGAGTTTGGGTGGAGCTGGAATCAAAGGCAGGGAGGTGCTACTGCACCCCGCATGGTAGGCCTTCAGCCGTTTCATAAAAGGCAAGTATAGAGTTGCTTGTATTTGCTTGACTATAGTTTGACTAGGAGTAGATCAGGCAAAGGAAATGCTCAGGCAAGAATGTCACAAGGTATGAATCATTTAAAAAAATTCAAGATAGATGGATTGAAAAAAAATGGTAAAGATTGCAAGATTGCCTTGAGTACATTTAGTGGTTTGATGATAGACAAGGTTAATTTTAGATGACGTAAAGCTTATAGAAAGAGTAAGAACAGGCATATAAATATTAGAGTAGCTTTCATATTTTATATTAGGAATGCTTTTCTATTTTTTTTTACTGTATTTGGTAAGCTTTTTGATATTGTAGCCAAGTTAGAGTATAAAACCAAGTCTGCTTTGGAATTCTTGATCTTCAGTCTTGAACTATTGTTCTTTCTGAAATGCCCACTTGCCAGCATACCTGGTTAGTGCTATGTAGCAACTTAATTTTTGAAACGTAAGTAAGAAGGTCCTTTACCTAATGGGCTGGCCATGTTAGAAGCTTTTTAATACTTTAGCACTTAGAAATGTTAAGATTAAACTGCTTTTAAAAATAGCCTTTAGATAATGTGCATTTTATAACTTTTAATCATTTGCTTGTTATGCTTTATCTGTGTTGCTTAGTCATTTATATCTTTTCTGTATTTTGTTATTGAATTTGCTATTCAAAATGTAGATATTCTGATGTTGTGAGTATTTAATTTTGGTGGGACTGGCTCTTTGAACCTTTCTTGGTTCTCAGAATTGATCTGAGGGCCAACACTTCTCCATATTTTTCTTGAAGTGACAACTGTCATTTTATTACTAGCATTTTACTACTATATTATATTTATGTTGCTGGCATGAAGATATTTTCTTTTACCCATATCAGTTTGTGAAATTTGACTGACCTTTTCCAGGCTTTGGCTGACTAGGTGGAAGAAGTACAGTCAAGCCCTCACAATGTCACATGCATGGGACCAACAAAAGCCTGTGATATTAAGTAAGGTTGACAGTACCAGGATCACATACCTGGTGATGGCATGTGAGGAAGCAGTGGCTCATGAGATGACAGAAAGCCATAAAAGATTATGTTTGTTCTGAATGTGCACTTGGCCCCGAAGTTTACAAAGCATATTTTTGTTTTAGCATCACTTCACAAAGGACTGTGCCATGTCTAGAATTTATACCCTGATACTTCCCTGTATTTTTGCAAACTCATGGACTGTCTGACTATGATGTTTATTTCATATCTAGCAGATAAGGTCAAACCCATAAAAATGATACTGTGTGAAAAAATAATGATGCACGAATAAACTAAAAGGAGAAGGGGTTCCAGAAAGCTCAGAGGACTTACATCCCTCAAACCTCTGCTCCCTGCAGTAACACTGTCCACCTCAGCTTTACCTACTCTCTCAACATTATAGTAATCGTTTGGTCTCTTCTCATGAGTTTTGCATGCACACCCAAAAATTTAACAGTAAGCAGTAAGAGCCCATGTACCTAAATGCAATGCAAATGCAAGATCAATTATATGTATAGCACAAAGGCCCTATTCTGGTATACTGCCAAATTCCCAAGTGCTGAGCATAATTATAAAAAGCCAGTCTTCTTTTCTATTGTATATTGTTACATATATTTCTTTAACAAAGCAAACTGCTACCTGATTTGGTCTTGGAATATTATTTGATAGCTGTGGCATTAAGTGACAATGCAGCAGAGATTGCTAAAATTGTTGCTATTAAGCAGCTTGAGGCATTGTCTGGAGTAATAATAAAAGGAGTTTATTTTTATACTATGATATATGGAAGTCAGTCATTGATTATGGAAGTTGTGATAACAGGTAGTATATGATGTAAGGAGGAATGATATTATCCACACACATCCAAAATCAAGGACACTGTGCCAGGTTACTTTTGCTTGTATCAGGTAGGAGCCCAGCTCAAATGCCTCTCCTGATCTCCATTGTGGCAGAGCAGAGAGCTCCCAGGTAACTTGGTCCTCAGTTAGGATTTTATAGGTTAAAACTACTACAGTACTTTGAATTCTCTCTGATAGTTTACTGGGAGATGTGATAGTTTACTGGGAGATGGTGATGGTTCCCAAATACTTAATTAATGTGCTCATCATGTCCACTTAATCAGCATTTTCTGCTTTCTGCACTAATTCAGCTTCCAGATGACACTAGGTGCAGTCATGGCTGTCTGTCATTGGGCAAGTAAAATACTAGTGTAATTGCAGTAAGCAAAGTACGAAGAAAACAGGTAGCACTAGCTGTCTCTTCACCATCTCATTACATTTTCACACTTCACTCACTTGACTCCTGTGCATGCAAATCAGGAAGGGTGAGACAAACCTGGACAGAACAAGACAGTCAGCATTATGCCATGTTGCACTTTGTACAAATCTCTGTATATTCTCCTAACCTTTAACATATGACATTTGAGCCATGGCTTCTACAAGCTGCAAATTTAATAAATGGAACATAGCAAAGATACCCTGATATATGTCAGCTACATGTTCAGTTGATTCCAGGTGGATTTGGTTTCTTCTTACTGTTCGGTAAAACTCTTCCTTGCTCAGAGGCAGTAGTTATTATTTATATTATACTCACTGCTACAGCAGTCATTTTAAACCAAGGTGCCATGGCACCCTGAGGTGTTGTGAAATCCTTTTAAGTATGCCACAGGGTGTGCTTGACATTGTTTTTGACACTATGAATTCCTATTTGAAATCTCTTGTGAATCATATGTAAGTGCTTGCACACCTAACGTTCTGACACACTGCGGTCTTTCTGAATTCTTTGCAAGAGAAGAATTGCTATATTATTTTTCCAAACCCAGAAAGGAAAAACAAGTGGAAAGCTGAGAGCTGGCATTTTCAAAGGGATGCCTTGAGGCTAAAAAGGGTGAGAGCCACTGAGCTAGAGCTTCCAACCAAGACCAGAGCTCTGGCCAGGGCTCCATTACAAGATACAGCCCCAGCCTCAAAGAGATAATAATATAAATAGGTAAGACAGCGTGCTAGAAACCAAGTATTATTGCCTCCATTGTGCAGAGGGTGAGCATGAGCAGAATGATTCACTGACTTGCCCAAAGTCAGATAAGGAGTCTGTTGCAAAGCTATGAATTAAATCTACATATTCTACATCCCTATGCACTTCTTCTGTGTTGTCTTTAGGACCCCCTCCTTCTCTCCACTCTCTTCCCTAATCTTCAGGTCCCTCCAAGAGAAATAAAAGTGAGGGATATTGGCTTTCGCATCCTTTGGAGTATTTTACTATTTTTTGACTGAACAGTCCAAATTCTAGTTAAAAAACATTCTGATAATGTTCAGCAAACCTTCTAAATCAGAGAAATGTTGAACAAGCCCTTTCTACTGACATGGAAAATCAATTAGAATATTAGAGTACTGCCAAGAAAAACATATACAGGAATTCAAGGTCACTTACCTTAGATTCTTTCTTCTTTGCTTTTTGGGGTAGAGAGGGTCTCTGAAGAAAGACAATCTGCTTAGTGGCTAAATTCCCCTCCCTGTAAAAAAAAGTCCTGAGAATGAACAAACTTCATATGGTGCGACTCAAAACCCAAGACTTGCTTCACAGTCATTCACTTAAAATGGCAAAAAAGTTACAATAAAAATGACCTAAAAATGCATCCATCTCTACAGGCCTTGAATAAAATGTTCTGTTGGAAACCCTCACGCCTAATTCCAGTTTATGTCTAATTTGATGCACCCAAAATCACCATTCAGTCAGCATTTAATGTATTTACTGCTAAAACATTTGGTACAGAAGTATAAACAAAGAATTGATACTAAAAAATACAACAACCCATGTGGTGGGTGTGTGCACTATAATCCTAATTACACACGGAAATGTTCTTTTACTAGCTGAGCATAAGAAATGACAAATCCTAAATTACTCCTAATTATGAGGCATGAAGCAAAGTGTTAAATCATTACTGGAAACCAGAAGCAATTTATGAGGTCAGAAAATGGCTTACAGAAAACAGAAAGGAGAAAACCCTTAAGTAGAACAGGGTGCATTTACATGAACATTAACATGCTTCAGTTCGTGCACATTAAATCTAGTATCTCCAATATGCATATTGAAAACATTAGATTTAGGCTAACTCTTACTGGTTTTTCCCACCATGCTTGGCTTTTGTAAACTGTCAGCCTTGGGAGGCAGGAGATGTCTCCATCTGTGGCTCAGACAGTATTGGGCTGATTTTAATCCTTTACTAATAAATAGCAACTTGGGCATTGATATATTATAAAACTATTCCTGCCTGATGAACTCATTTATTTGAAAGGACATTCCAGAATGTGTAATAATGATTAACTATTGTTACACAACTGTTTTTAGCCAGTCTTTTTCAATATATCTTAATGTATCAAAAAATAATTACACTAATGAAATAAAAGTGGCCCTAAAAAGGCGAAAAACCATAAACAAAGATATTTCAATTGAAGGCTGCTAGAGTATTATTAGTATTACCTCACCCAATTTCTCTGAGCCATGATGGATACGTCACCTCACAGTTTTTGGATACCTACTGATTAAGGAACATCCTGTGCTTCTATAGTGACTGATACTATGTTCTGTTTTTGTTTTTAAAGGAAGCTAATTCTGGTCTGGAAAATACAGCAGTGCACACGGGTCTAGTAGGATCTATCCGTCAGACTCTTGAGTCTTGCCAACCAGATTTGTGGTGGGGTTGGAGTGCTTAGACTAGCTCAACAGACGCTGAAATGAGAAGCCTAGCCCCTAGGTGCAAGGAATTCCAAGCTAGGAGTGCACAGAGCTGGTAGCACAAACAACCATGCTTATACAGTGACCGCCCCCCACGAACAAAAGGCAAACATGTTACCTGTTTGTCTTTACAATTGGAGTAGGAAGCACACATGTCAGCTGCCAACCATATGCGGCAAGAGAATTCAGCAGCGGAATATAATCTGTCTTCACTTCCATCCCCTGGGGAAGAAATCAACAGTGGGATTATCGCTTGAAGTGGGCTATTTGGCTTTATATAAAAAATGTGTTTGTTTTGGGGGGGCGAGAGGAGAAAGAGGAGAGAAGTTGTTTGCTTTGTGTACTGAAATTACAGCATTTTTGCAAGTTCAGCAAAACAGGAAGGAAAATTATTTTAAACACACAAAGGTGCAAGGTTAGTTTCCAATTTTTACTGTAGTGTTTAATACATTTGTTAAAACAGTACAAATACATGATGTCTTCTTGTGCTTCCCAAATCAGCCATGTGCCAGCTGATCAATCAGATCAACAGGCCTAATTCATATTGTTTTTATCAGAGCTTCCCTGGACAAAGAGCCTCCTGCAATCTTCAGTGAAAAAAGAACAATTACCTCCTTGCAAACAAAAAGATATTCAAGCAGCACAAAACCACGCTATTTTGCCCAGGACAGATTCTGCTCTTGACAACACTGGTGTAAACCCCAAGCAATTCTACTGGAATCAAGAGAATTTCTTCAGCTCTACATCAGTGATGCCGAGAGCAAAATTTGGCCCTCTGAGCTCAGAGTATTTCCTAGGGTGTTAAATGACATGATGGTGGTAATGAGCCCATGTTATTTGCATCCAGCAGCAGGAGAAAGAAAATATGAGTACAATTTGTTTCATTTCTTTCGTCACCCACAGGCAAACGACCACTGCCTATTTATTATTCTGAATCAGGAAATATGTGGGTGAGACGAAAATGCTACCTTTCACCATAAAAGTCAGGCTTCACTCACAGATGCTGTACAATAGGGCACCGCTAATTCTCTCTCCTTTAAGCTGCAAACCAAACAATTCTTTAAAAAAAAACAAACACAAAAGCAACTAATGGCTGTCTCAGCAAAGACTGAGCTCCAGTTAAGTGTCTAATAACCAAGATTTCACTAGTTTAACAAAATATACTATAAGCGCATTTATTCTTCAGTTACAAGCTTTACTAAAATACTATAATAAATTACAACTACTACACTACTCACTACACGCACAACTCCACTCCACTGCAGTGCCACCTACATTTGCCAAAATAAACAAACAAGTAAAGTCTGGGAGGCATTACCTTCGACTGTGTGTCTTCATCTACTTGTTCATTCTCAAAATTGTGCAATGTACAATCATTTGCCAGCCATCAATACTAATCAACAAAGTTCAAATGGAAAGCCATATATTCTGTAATAATACTCGTCTGAACAGATATCATTCATATGCTGTTGCTGTATTTTAGACAAAGAAACTAACTGCCAGTCTGCACTGGTCTTTCTTCTTGTTGCAAGTCACTTATACACCTAATAACTATATCCATTTTCAGGAGTGGACATAGTGGCAGGGACTGACAACATCACCATATGTAGGTCATAGTTAAGATGCCTTTTAAGAGGGCCTCTGACTCATTTCCTCAGAAGTCTATCAGGAGCTTTGAATCTACTGGGACTTGCAGCAGCGTCGCATTTACAGAGCCTCACCAGTCAGAGGCTCCATCAGCCCCACTACCTTTTCCTTCCTTTCCACTTCCAGTCTCTATGCAAGCTGCAACATTAATTTTTCTTATTTTTCCAGTTTTTAAGGGGCCTATAGCCTGAGGTAAATCTCAAGGTAAAGATGGAAGTCTAAATGCCTTCTCAAGTAAATGTCCAGGAAAATACTAGGTATTAAATGGAATGAATTTTAACCAATGCTTATCAAAGAAATCAACCGCCCTTTATCTCAAAAATACAGAGGGATGTATCTAGGATTTGTATCAAGAAAGATATCAAAGCATCTGTTCTGAGCAGATGGAAGAATATGGCAAAAGCCCTGTCCAAAAGGACCCCTCTGTCAAATGGTATTTAGAAGGTGGAAACTTATGGAATGTAATAGAGGGAACATCCACAAAGAGCAGACCAGAGCTTTGTTCATGCCCTAAACGATCACTGATGATGCAAAGAGGATTGAGATTTCAGACTCGGTGCCCAAGGTTAGTGATTACCAAGGAGAACCTTCGTATTTCATCAAGAAATGTGACAAACTTGTCAAAAATCAAAGGGTTGTTATGGCAACTAAGGCGGGCATGGCTGCAGCACAAAGCACTCTTGGCTGCTTACAGAAACAGAGCCATTTCAGGGATGCAGTTTCTCCTGCCACATCCAGTTTTCTTTGCAGGCTCTCTCAGGGGCAATACAATGAAATGCCTGCTGGATTCTGACCTGTCTTACTTGTCAGACTCATCTGTAGCAGATGATGTTGCATTTCTTTGTAGCAGGACAAAGAGAAAAGAGCAGGTTAGAGCTCAACAAAATAAAAGGATTTTTAGTTCAGAAGGTTTAATGTGTAAAGAAGTGGAAGGGAAAGGTTTTGGTAGAAAGAGTGGTAAGAAATTGTTATAATGTTTGTTTTCTCACCTGTGTGCACCAGGTTGCTCACATGCTACCACTCAAGAGAAAATGTGTCCTCACCCTGCCTAGGTTCATACAGCCTTAGAATTATGTCCAGATCCTCCTAACAGCTTTCCTGGAGGTTACTCACTACCTCTGTAGAATCACCCATGATACCTCTTCCCAATATCCCTACCCCAATGACCTGCATTGCAACACTTTTCTCTACCAAATAATTTTGCTCGTTGATGACAGGTAGAAGGGAACAGAGTAACCCTAAGTAATTTTTTTAAACATTTTTTTAAACTGAAGCTCAAACTCCTCCCTTACAAATGTAAACAGTTGCACCTTTAAAGTTAAGTGCACCAGGGGCACTAGTTAGCCCTACTCCTCCAGAGATGCTAGTGCTAGTATTTATATCACACCTGAAACTGTGGTATCAGTAGAAGCCACAACTAGCTAGTGCAGACTATTATAGTAGTAAGGCCAAATGCTAGCATGACATCATACCTGCCAGTGTCACTCCCACCTTTCTTTCCAAAACACAGACTATTCAAACAAGTAGTAGTAAACTTGAAAAAAAACCCAACCCTTTTTAGACACCAACAATCCTGGCTTTATTTTTATAGTAAATGTAACTTTTGTAACAGACTATAGAGAAGCTATGTTATATATTATGATTTGAGACAATGGAGATAAAATTTCAAACATAAAAGTTCATGAGATGAAACTACAGAATTCTGGAGGCTGTTCAAGCCCAGATCAGTTAAAAAGAAGCAATAGAAAAATGTATGATAGAGCTCTAATAAAACGTAAGGTGCGCAAAGAATACTGTGTATCAAACTGGGAGACATTTTATTCTGTGAAAGGGAGGAAAATTTTAATTAACTCACTTCCTACTCTCCTGTGGATGATAAGAAATCTCTGATCACACCTTGTATGTCAAGAAACCAGAGCATATTAAGTTTGTTCTTCCCTGTCTTGCAGCACATAAAAAGAATTCATTTTTATTCATGGTTTGCTGTTTGTTTTCAACAATTCTTCCCTTCACAGTAGCCTTAGCTCATTAGAAAACTCTAAAATCTGATTTAAAAATAAAGATAATATCTAGGGCAAACCACACACATTACATCATCATCAGTTTTCATTTATTTTCACCACAGCAGGTTTAAACACCAAGCAACCTAAAAAACAAGACATTGATCACCTTCTTTTACTTTTGAGACTTAAAAAAAGTTCAGCTGAAACAATCTCTGTTTTCTGTGTTAAGTAAATGTGACTTAATTACATGGCCACCAAGTCTGGTCACTGCCTCACATTGTTTTGCAATGTGGAGACAAAACAGATCACAATTAAAAAACAGAAGATGAAGCATTCACTAAGTTAGTTTCAATAATATGCTTCTACGTAAATCAAAAAGACAGTGAACTGAGGAAACCTATAGGCATGGGGGGAGAAATCCTGGAAACCTGAAAAGGGAACAGAAATATTAATACTTAGCAACTGTCTCCAATTTTGGCAAATGAGGAAATAGGTGGTGAATTCGTGACCCTCTCCTTACAGAAGTACTACAGGGTCTTCCTCCTACACATCATACAGGGAACATGGAGTTTGTGGTCAATATTAGACTACCTGGGCCCCAGTGCCACTCCACCCCTTAGGAAGGGGAAGAGGGTAGAACACGATGGCAAGGGACAAACATTACACAGAAACTGGTTTAAACCTGTAACAGAACAGAAGTTCAGTGCGCATAAACCAGTTTGAAAATGGCTGAAACCAGTTTGAGAGAAACCTGATTGAAAGTAGTATCAGACTTAACTGATTTGGGTCAAACTGGTTTATGCAATGTCTGTCCCAGACCCCTTGCTGGTTTAAGATAAGCCAGGTTCCCTCAGCATCCCAGCACGCTCTCTGGGCTAGGAGAGGCTTTCTGCTTCACAGCAGCGCTGGTCCCTCCCCTCTGCTCCCTGGCTGCAACTCTAGCAGAGACTGTGGGATGCTCCCGCACTCACCCTCACTACTCCCTGCTAAGCAGGAATTCCCCCCTCCACTCTGCCTCGTCGAGAGGTAACTATGTATTAGCTAGCAGACCACATGCTGGCTACCGTCTGTGCTGGATCAACAGGCAGAATCAATGGGTAGCTAGTAATGTCCCTCTGTTGTTTTCTTAATAGGGTAATAAACACTAAGTTAGGGATAATAAACACTGTTATCAATTCCCTGCTGGGCTGGTCAGAGCATCCTGCCCAGGCCTGGCCACACCCCCGCCCCCTCAGCTCTGTGCTGTGGAAGGGAAGGGAAAGGAAGGGCTGCTCTAGCGCCCCCCAACTTCTAGCCTGAGCCACTGCAGTCATGTGCCTGCATGTCTGGGATGTCTGCGCAGTTACAAACCAGTTCATCCTAGCTAGGTTAAACTAAACTGCAAAGATTGAATCAATTCAGGCTCAGGCTTTTTGAATGTCTGTCCCTAGCCAATGTGCACCTCAGGAAAAGGGAAAGAGAACAAAGAAACAGAGCAATGAAATGCCTGGATCATCAAGGATAACTCAGTGAAAGTGTGCTGCAAGTATTTTATGCCACCTGCACATCAATGAAAGGAGAACAAATCCCTAC